GGCGCCGTTAGGGATGCCTTGTTGCAAACAAAGGAATGCACACAAGATCTTCAATCGATTTTGCGCTGAAGACGAGGAGTCGAGGGGCTTGCTAATGAGGTTAGCAAATACTTAACCTCTAGGAAGGCAGTGAGAAAGTCAATCTGCAAGGCCTTGAAGAACTTGAAGCATATGGAGAATCAACTTAGCAAAGATTGAGACTGGATCCGTGATTAGCACCTTAAAACAAGTAGAAGCAGTGACCATCAACGTTCTAGAATCCCTGTTGTCCTTTATTTCAGGGCCAGAGGCTGAATCGAAATCTAGCCCATGGTCACTATTTTCAAAGTTAATGCACCAGAAAAAAGTAACTTCCCAGGAAGAACAAAAAACAAACGAAATTGCAAATGCTGAAGCTACATTGCGTTCCTTGATTAAATGTGGAAGCATGAAGCATGTTGAGAATGTGCAAAAGGAGCTGGAAAACTCAGAGATGTGCATCCAAGATCTCGATGAAGGTCTCGAATGCTTGTGATCAAAGCTAGAGTCACTGTTCTCAACATCCTCAACTGTTGAAATCTAATTGTACATAAAGTATAACTTACGTGCATCGAATTGTTTTGAAAAATAATAATTATACAGTCTTCTTTCCACAAAGTCTGCTTTTTCTTACCTTTCAAGAATGGCTATGGATGCATCTTATCCCAAAAATTGTTTACTTTTGACTTCCACATTATTACTAACACTAGTTTTACCAAAGGCTACCCATCGTAACTTAGGAGATGAATTATAGAGCCACAATTATTATATTTGTTGAACAAGGATTCAAGATTTATGAGATCTCCTCTATGAATACCTGAGCTGTAGAGATTCCTGTTGTCCCGTTGAAGATATTGGAACACTTTGAGCATCAATCACATGGTAGATATAAATCTCACTCTTTAAGCAAATCTTGCCTGCCTCTTGCATGACAAGAGATTCAGGGCATTATTATATTAAAAAACTTGATAAACTACTAAACCATAATAATTGCACATACATTTTCATGTACATGCTAATGAAATTCATCAAACAATAATGACTGCATAAATAATTGAGGCTATGGATAATAAAACTTGAAAGGGTGAGATTCTTCATGTTTGTCTCCAAACGGATTGGATGAGTGCAAATTAAAGACACATAAAATATGAAATTAAAGTAAAGTGAAGTGAGATTAATAAAATATGAAATGCTGGTAGTTGGAGTGCAAGAAACAAAGATTGAATATATAAAAGATAAGTAAAGATATAAATGGCTTTAGTGAAGTCCAAATGTTGATCAAAGGAGCTGGGATTAACTAAGGAATCTATTCTAACTAACGAAGAATGCCGTGGAAAAACTATGGCAAGCCTATTGTCCGATTGGGTACTTAAGTTGTCTTCCTCTGTTGTTAGCAAAACCTAAATTCACTCCCCTCAAAGGTATTGTGTGTCTATGGGCTTTAAGATCGACAAGCACTCACTAGCTCACTAGCTCGTATAAGATAATGCTCTCTATATCTAGAGTTTGTAAAGGCATACTGTCGAACACTCACTCAGATTACTTAACTTCGGCCATCTAACTTAATCCTTATTAACCTAAGGCCTACAAAACATTTGTCAATGCCCTAGCAAGCATATCAGCACAAATAATCATTAGATAGAACTGTAAAACAAACCCAATCATGCCATTAACATTCAACAATGTTAAAGTATCTCTACATTAATCACAAGATTTAATGAGTTAGTTCATGGCTGGCTAAACAAAATCAAGTTCAAGAGTGTAATCAACATTTTCACAATTAGTTTAAGAAGTAAAAAATGAAACAAGTTGCAAAGGAAGGAATCTGGTTGCAAACACAGTTTCTCAGCTTTTGTCAAGTCTAAAGACATGAATTATATATGCAATTTTTACTCCCTTTTATAGGGAGAGAGAAAATTTAATATATTGTATTCCAATTTCCAAGCAGAACCTGCACTCGTGCAAATATTTATTTCTAGCCTTTGCCTTATTTCGATTATAAAATGCCAACAGTTAACTTTTACATGGCCAAAACCAATTGTCATTCAACATTGTTGATTCAGATCATAGACGACTTGCATTATACAAAATTGTTTAGCTGTATTTAAGTTAGTAGACAATTGAATCCTCAATAAATTTGTCATCTTCTTCGGATCATTAAAGACAAATGCAGACAAGTACACGCTTTCCTGCAAAGGTTATATTATACAAGTCAAGCAAGCAGAACTTGCCTCCCTTCTGCACAACAAATTCAATAATAGCATCGTAATCCTGCATACTGTCTTTGCACCATCGTGTGTATTACTATATTATGGTCGTATTAGTATCATGTTACTTTAGGTAAGGGTGATGAGTTGTTTTGATTGTGCAGAGGAGACAAAACATGAAAGTTTCCATGATAATCGTGTAGATCTAGATCAATTCCCCGTTACTTATTGATATTTGAAGAGGATGAGATTCCTCTTGTCTCCCCTCAGCCTGTGATATATATATATATTGAGTAGATGGTAATGGGAGAAGACACCGAATAGCTAGAGTGAGTTGAAACGCAATTGAAAAGCCTTCTTTCTTCTTTAAAACAAAGACAATGGCTACCTCTCCTTTGAATGTCCAGCCTTCTTTCCATGCTCGCTCAAACAGTTTGCCTTCAAGGCAACACCCCCTCACTTCTCAAATCGATGAAAATCTGAACCGACTGAGGGCATCTCAGTCGGCCTCTACATCGTCATCAATAGGACATCAACTCAACTACCTTCAAGATCTGTATGACTCTGTTGATATGTTGCTTCAATTGCCCCTCTCTCAACAAGCTCTAGCTCAAGAGCAGCAAAGGAAATTGGCTGAACAAATTTTGGATGGATCTCTCATGCTCCTCGATGTATGCGGGACTGCGAGAGATGCATTGTCGCAAACAAAGGAATGCACACAAGATCTTCAATCAGTTTTGCGCCGAAGACGAGGAGTCGAGGGGCTCGCTAATGAGGTTAGGAAATACATAACCTCTAGGAAGGCAGTGAGAAAGGAAATCTGCAAGGCCTTGAAGAACTTGAAGCATATGGAGAATAAACTTAGCAAAGATGGTGAGACCGGAACCGTGATTAGCACCTTGAAACAAGTAGAAGCAGTGACCGTCAGTGTTCTCAAATCCTTGTTTTCCTTTATTTCAGGACCAGAGGCTGAATCAAAATCAAGCTCGTGGTCACTAGTTTCAAAGTTAAGGCACCAGAAAAAGTTAACTTGTGAGGAAGAAGAACAAAAAACAAATGAAATAGCAAATGCTGAAGCTACATTGCGTTCCTTGATTATATCTGGAAGCATGAAACATGTTGAGAATATGCAAAAGGAGCTGGAAAACTCAGAGATGTGCATCCAAGATCTTGTTGAAGGCCTTGAAAGCTTCTTCAGGAGGTTGATCAAAGCTAGAGTCACTGTTCTCAACATCCTCAACTGTTGAAATCTAATTGTACATAAAGTATAACTTAGATGTATACAATTGTTTAAAAAATAATAATTATGCAGTCTTCTTTCCACAGATTCTTCCTTTTCTTATCTTTTAAGAATAGTCACGGATGCATCTTAATCCAAAAATTGTTTACTTTTGACATTCACTTTATTATCAGCACTAGAGCTTTACAGTTAGTTTTACCAAATTTACCAGCTGAATCATTTGTCAAAAAAGAACTCAAGATTTATGAGATTTTTTTCTATGAATACCTGAGCTGTCGAGATGCCTGTTGTCCCGTTGAAGATATTGGAAAACTTTGAGCATCACATGGCAGTTATAAATCTCACACTGTTTATGCAAATCTTGCCTCCCTCCAGCATTACAAGAGATTCAGGACATTATTATATTTAAAAACTTGATAAACTCAGCCATAATAATTGCATATACATAGTAGATACAACTGGAGGTGCTACAAAACGCTTCGTTAATGAGGTTAGAAAATAATTGACCTCTAAGAAGGCAGCTAAAAAGGCAATCTTGAAGGCCCTAAAGAATATGAAGCATAAGGAAAATAAACAAAACACTGGTTCCGTAGTTAGCCTGCTAAGGGAGGTGCAAGCAGTCACTCTTAGTGTGTTCAATCCTCGTTGTCCTTTACGTTTGTACCTGAGAGAGAATCATAGATGAGCCGCTGGTCGCTGCTCTCAAAGTTATTACACTAAAAAAAGTCATCAGTGAAGGAGAAGAGCAGATCAACAAAATGGAAATTGCTGAGGCTTCCTTGCAATCCCTTGCAACAAGCAAACCTGACATTATGCAAATAGAGGAAGTGCAGACTGAAGTATAATTATCAGAGTTGCATTCAAGAGTTGGAAGAAGGGGTTGAGGGTCTGTATAGGCACCTGATAAAAGTCAGAGTCAATATTCTCAGTACACTCAACCATTAAGCTAGTCTCAAATATCTGGTGACTTCATCTTGTACATTAACTGCAGCACAAATGTAATATTCTGAAGTCAAATTAATTATACTGCATGTTTTCTCGATCTTCCTTTTTTATTTGATCATTCAAAAACTACTTATTTGATAAGAAAAATAAAATAAAATTTAAAATATTTTACAATTAAAAAAAAGGACAAATGTTGAGAATTTTTTTATCATTTTATCCTATTTCAATTTTAATTCAACTTAAAATATAATTAGATTTTAGATTTTTATTTCAATTTTATCTTTCTTTTGTAATAGTCAATCCTAATTAATTGATCAATAGGTCTGATACCCATGATTGTGCTTAAAAATATTTCCTCAAAATGATTGTGAGCAAAGATTATTTATCTTCGGTTATTGACTGTCCCTGTTCAGCCCTATCAATATCAGGAAGTTAACTTCAACAACATGATGCACTGTGAAAATATCAAGCTTTGTTCTAAAATGAAATCCAGAAGCCTTAAATGATACTTATTTGTGAACAAGAAACCATAATACTGGACAGAATCAACGCCAGAGTAAATGAAGGCAAGATTGTGTGTAAGCTTCAACTCAATCGTCGTACAAATTAGATCTCTAGGTACACAAATACAATATTTAAGTATAACAATTTCTTCTGACCAAAAGAGCAATGAATCTTTTCCTAGTAAAATAACAAACAAAATGAAGACATAAAAGAGAAACCGATAAGGGGGTAGGCTCAGATGACCGATGCTGCCTACAAAAGAAAGTTAAAGTACAGCCTATTTTACCCCAGCATCTCTTAAATGATGATCAAAGAGTTGAAGTGGTATCACAACAACTAGATTAATTTGTCAAAGGCTTAGCCTTGCGTATATGGCCCATGCTATTTACAAGATCTCTTCGTGTGCAGACTGGGAACATATTGATGTTCTTTAGTACTTTCAACCGCCAAAGAACATATGGAAAGCTTAATTGGTCCCTTGAAGTGAAACGAACCACCTCATTAAACCAGAGGCACATGAACATATTAGTCAAAGGTGTATGTTTCCTCACAATGACAGAGGCTTCATTTAGAGCTGCATAAAATGGAGCAGATAATCAAATATTTTAGCAGCAAAACTAAGAAGGTAAATTCAAGTTATCTCTACCAGTTTGACTCCTTTCTTTCAGAAAAATCAACCCCCCCCCCCCAATAAGAATCAAATCAAATGGTCTAGTAGACTCTTTTCAATAACTAGCTTCTGACGTTTTAGAGGTTTAATCATATGGAAATGGTTGACCTTAATGCCACCAAGCTCAGCTGAGCTGCCGATGGACAAGAATACAAACCCAACTTTATATATATAAGCGCTGGGTAGGAGGTAGGATAAATATGTCAATGCAGTAAAAGCCTTTAAACAGATAATAACAAATGGATTTGATACTTTGTTTCCTCAAACACCAGGAACAGTTTAATTCAGACAAGTTAAACCTGATGCTGGACAAGGAATGATGAAAAACATACTGCTTATGGTGGACACAAGAAATTAAGAAATCATGCAAATTGTGGATCATCATCCACATTAATCTTTAATATAGTACAGCTTACATCTTTAATAACCACAAAAGAAGACAGGAGAATACCTTTCTTTCCATTAAATCTCTTGTCCTCTGGAAGACCATCCTTACGATACTGAGTCATTTGAACCTCAACTTCCTCTGGTGTAGCTTTGTGTTTAAGGACGACAGCCTTTGCCTCATCATAGACACTACTACGAGCTCCATGCTCAGAAATTGCAAGAACTGAATTCCTACGCCAAAGAAGAGCCTCAACTACACCTAAAGGGTCCCTCCTGAATTGGGATTTCGAGTCTACCCAAATAGAGTACTTTGCATGAGGAAAGAGACGATGCGGCAACATCTGATCACCACAAAAGCATTGAGTCATTCTTCATTGAAACTATAAGCATAGAGAGAGAGAGAGAGAGAGATGCGTAATCATCAAAGCAAACAAGGCCAAGAAAGAGGAAAATATCATTAATCAAAATATTAAATGATCATACTTCCTATAACACCATCTATAAAATTTGAGATCAAAAACAATTTTGAAGTACTGACTTCATGGATAGATCTAAAGTTGCCTAAAAATGATAAAAGATTAGCAATAAAAATACAAGAATAGACACTGTTGGAGACAGATGAAGAAGAGTTTAAACAAGTTACAAAATGCAGAATGTGTCGATAGCAATCATTAGCAATAAGACAAAATGTATAGAAATCAAAAAGTAGATATCATCTATTACTTTGCGGATTTATCTATACAAATGTAACCACTATACCTTAGGAATTTTCCCATTCAACCTCTGGTCTACAAAAGGCGGATTCCGTACAATCACAATACGCCATTTTCCAATCAGTCCATCCTCGCCAATCTTATTGCCCTGTGATTCCTGTGCTGCAAGCGTAGTTTCATCCCAAAATGCAACATAACAAACCTGAATCAACAATATGCAGAATCCCAATTAAGAAAAAAGTCAAAAACAAATGTTAAGAACATTTAAGCTATAAGTAAGCTTCCGCATCATATATGCTCACCTTTTTGAGAGATGCCTCTGACATTCCTATAGGCTGATAAAGATCATCTCCACCTCCAAAAGCACAAGTAGAAACCACAAGTTTGCAAGTTTGCATATAACTCTTGTCTCTATCAGATATTGCAAAGCCACCATTTTCACTGAAAAAACCACAATGTAGAGCAACAGTTTCACTCACCTGGACAAACAAAATTGCAGATATAAGCATAATCCATGATACGGAAAAGAAAATGTAACAATAAAAAATCATCACTGCCTTTATTAAGGTTCAAAACCTTAAAGCTTTTCTCTCTCTCATCAAAGGTTTGGTTCCCAGTGAATAAATTAAACCGAGTGACACTTGTTCGCTGCCAAGATAAGGTAGAGTTCCCCCCACCATGTCCGTGAGGCGTTAGATGGTCTGAGATATACATCAATCTTTTAACAGGACTACTAATGGTAGATTCTTCATCTTCTGAAATATCTAGATGCTCAAGTTCCTCAGCTGGTAAGAGCTTCAAGCAAGCTGATAGATTAAACAAAACATTTTCTCATTTCTTCACATATTTCTAAATATTCCCTACTTGACAATAGTTTTGGCACCATAATTATAACAATTTCCTAGCTTCTAGTTCGCCAAAGATTATAAAAAGAGAGATTTGTTTGCTCCTCTACTTACGTTCTCTAACACCACTGACAATGTGAGTGATTGGATCGAGCCGGTTCAATTTGCTGTCGGGTTTCTTTCCTTGAGTCGCTTCCTTCGATTTAGTAAGTTCTGAGTTACCCATCAAATTGGGACTTTTCACTTCATTAACTTCCGAGTGGACGACCAACCCAGGTTTTCTACCGACGCTAGTGACCTCGAAAATGATCAGCATCGCGGCCGGAAGGAATATGAGGAGCATCCAGTATTTGACGAACAAACGGATGAGGAGCTGATTCAACTCGTTCCTGGGTCGTTGATGACCGTGTTTCTTGCGTTTCCTCCGGGCTCGGACTCGCTTTCGGCCGAGTTCATCGGAATCGTCATCCGAGACCATGATTGAGATACTGTTATTGCTGAAACTTGAAGAGGCCATTTGGTAGTAATGGGGGATTAGAAAAATAGGGAATTAATTAATGGAAACTCGAAATTGGAATATTGGGGGTTTGGGTTTCCACCGCTGAAGTCTGGAACACTAGTGGGATGCTGCAATTGGAACTCTATTTTCGACTTGTTTCCACGCTGATGGCTCGATTCACAACGATTCAATTGCGATCCATATTGGTAAAAATTTCGCTTGCTATGTCCTATTTAGAATTCCTTTTAAAAAAATCAAATCGATATTGAATTTGATCTCGGATCGGAGTTCATTGATTTGAATCAGTTCAAATTATCAATTTTCAGATGGATAAATTACAAATTTAACAGCTGAAAATTATTTTCTCTCTTATTTAATTTTATATATTTTTTAATTTAATTATTAAATTTTATATTCACTTAATCGTTTTCTCCTCAATTCCGTCATCACGTGGTTAGGGATCAACGTTAGATTGAGTTGAATTAAGTAAAAGTTTTAAATGTAGTCGAGTTGATTTTTTGAATTTCTGTTTAAATTTAATTGTAAATATTTATAATATTATTTGATTTAAATTTAAGTGATTTTCTATAATTATATATATTCAATATAAATATATTTATTTATATATTTTTTTTATATGTGATATACATATATCATACAAAGTCCAATTATTTGACTTAAATTTAAAAATAAATTTACTAATTACTAAAATTTTTTTGTTATTCGAGTTGCACTTAAACTCGATTTGAACTTGAAATTTTTTCGAGACGAGTTTTTTCGAGTTGAAAAATTTAGCTTTTCGAGTTGAGTTAAGTTTTGCTTACCCCTACACGTGAAATCTTTTATCAATTTTTTAATTAATTATTATTTTATTAATATTATTTATATACTTTTATTATTCCCACCCAGTTCATAAATGAATATATTTGTAAATTTTAAACGAATATGTTCATAAATGCTAAACAAACTAAACATGAACACCTTCAAAAAATAAATAAATAAACATACATAATAATCGAATAAGAACAAAAAATAAACCATTTTAAAAATAAATAAATACAATCCTATCCCCTGCATCTTAATTATTTTCCCTCTATACTCAAAATACTATTTTTATTTTTCTGATTAATCAACAAATATATTTAGTTTTTTTTTTGTTTACGAACCAAAAATATATTTAGTTTTTTTTGTTTTCTGATTAATCAACAAAAAGGGCATTTTGATATATTTTTTTATTTTTCAAAATCTACAATAACAAATAATCAACAAAAATAAAATCCACATGAAAGGTACTAATACTTGTATAGATGAAGGACTAAGCACCATTGTAGCATTGCAATGAGCCCAGAGTTATTAATGTCTTCTTTTAACCATTTATTTATGTATATTTAAAATGATGGAAATAAGTATTTTAAATTCTAAAATGCAGTTATTTATGGTAAGTCTTACAAATATAAAAACTAATATAATAACATATAAACAAATATAAACAAATAAATATTACAGGATCTTTAACATATGATACCAAATGTACATGCCTAAAAAGTGGAGTAAAAAATAGATACTTTTAGATTACTTGATAATAAGAATTTATTGAGTCAATGTAGTAGTTAAAGGGTGTGTTATTTTTTTTTTTGAGATTTTGGGTTCGAGTAATTATGTTTATAAAGCGTGTATCAGTTGTCAATGATTAAAAAAGATTATGAACAAATATTATCTTATAATCACTTTAATTTATTAAAAATATTTAATATATTTACAATTTTTTAATCTAGAAAGAGAGATTATTTCCAAAAGAAAGAAAGAAAGTGTAATTGTTAATAATAACCTCATAGTATCAAATCAAAGATTATTTGAAAATAAAATTATTGATTTAGAATAATTTTTAAAATTAAAATAAAATAATTATTCGTTTTAAGATCTAATACTCGACACGACGTCGTACGACGAGAGTATTGAATGTTAAGCCCATAATGGAAAGGCAATGATATTATTTTTTAAATGATTCCCGCATAGTGGGCCTAACATAGGCCATTATTTAATTTGAGTTGTAAGGACTCGTCACGCCGACGTGATAAGTCCATTAAAAATATTTTTAAAATTTTTAAAAAAAATAATATTTGTAAAATAAAAAATTAATGAAATTCATCACGTTAATGCGACGAGTTCTTTCAAATTAAAAAAATAGTCATTGTTCAATGGGTAGAGGAGCAACAACAATCAATGGAACTTGAACAAGACTATAAATAGGGGTTGGGATTTTTGTATTTTACAAACCCTGAATGCAAAAAATAAAAAATAAAAAAACATACATTATATGAAAAGCACGAAAAATATCAACCGGAAATATATGTTACGCCCGAATAATGTCATGTTTGATCGATCCTATGTGGGACCCCAAAAATATTTGATCAAGAATTATAATAGCTCTTCACAAAGTAGGGATGCCCTAAAAATATGTTCAGATTGATTACTATCTAACTGGAGCTTGGATTGTACCAGGACAAAAGGATCCCACTTCTACTGAACGATTGGTTGCATTCGCTATTATTCATCGAAGCTATTCCTCTCAAGAGTCTGCTGCAAACCCATTTATTCCCTTTCTTTTAAGTGTAAGCCAGTTTTCTTTTATCTTGTTGATCGGAAAATGTTTCTCTTTATATGTTTTCAAATGCTGAGTTTACCATTTATAGATTTTTATATTGCTAATTTAGGTTAACAAAAACCATATACTTCTATGTGTATATGAAGGCAAACATGCTAGTTTGATTTAGAGCAAGGCTTGTCAATGCAAAGTTTTCTATGTGTATATGGAGCATAGTATCGATATTGGTTAAGCCCAACGGCCTTTAATGGCTAGTTTATTTAAATATTACAAATGTAGTACCGATACTCATTTAAGGAGTATCAATACTCCCTGTCTTGGGCAGTTTTATTTTACAGAAAATTAATCCACAACGACTCCAAAACATTACAACGGCTAGAAACGACTACAAACTCATTCCAACTTATAGAAACAAGTTGATGACACTTGAAGAAGGTTGGACAATACCTATCCAAGCAATCAAACACAAAAGACAAGTTATTCATTCTTATTTTCCTTTCTCTTGTAAATATTAGTGTTTTAGTGAACTTAATCTTTGTAGACACCTTCATTTTGAGAGATTTTTCTTGTTTACATTTCTTATCCTTTTGTAAAGGGGATTGATTATAGCTTAGCCTGTGAAAAACTAGGGAGTTGTAAATGTTATCTCTTTATCCTGGAAAAAGAAAGAATAAATTAGTGAATTTGTTAGAAAATCCTTAGTGAGGAGCTAAGGTAGTGGATGTAGACTTAATTGAGAAGTCGAACCACTATAAATTCTTGTGCAAATTTTCCAATCCTTTCTACTCCTTACTCCCTAAACTCTAAAAGTCAATTCACCTCCTCTTGGAAATATTCGGTTGTTCAATTGAGCTTTATCACGAAATTCCAACACGTGTCACCAATGACACATGGAATCTCTTGGTTCGAGGGTTAAATTTATTTTAATTTATTAAAATTAAAACCAAATTGAAAGAATATATAAATAAAATGGATAAATTGTGTAATTAAACCAAAATATTTTAACTGTCAAGTCACCTACTCAGTTTAATGTTAACGGCATGTGGCTTGATTCAAACATTTAAATAATTGAGTGATCTGATCGATTAAATCAAAATATCAATAGTCAAAATAATTTTTGATCTTAGTTAAGTGATCACGCGTATAGATTACTCAAAACATTAAAACTATTGTCTATTATGCGATCATGATATATGCGAATGGAAATTATCAAATATTTATATATTATTTACGTTCACATTATACATATAGACGAGAATACGAATTTAAGATATAAAATGTGTAATATATTCACTTCTAAGTAAATTTTTACATTAGTGCAACAATTTGAATTCTAAACTAATAATTTTAGTATTTACTCGAATTAAGATTTTATAAAATGATAAATATATATTTTAGATTTTTATATTGATACTAGTCATAAGATATCAATATCATATGAATTTATATTAATAATAAGGATAAAATGTTAAGAGTATTGATACCTATTTATGGAGGTCGTTATACTGAAATAAAAATAAAAAATGATATTAAATAATTTTTTTAAAATTAAATAATTAAAATAAAATATGTAAATAAATGAAATATCAAATAAAAAGTTTCAACATTTTTATAGATATTCTTAAAAAGAAAAGAGAAGTTAATTTCTTTAGAAATACTTGTAGAAATGTCTAATCGCTGCCAAACCCACCAAAAAGCAGGCAAAAATACCAATCGACATTGAGCAATTTGAAACACAAAGTGGATTGCATTGTATGCTATACAGGCTATTAGCATCCACTTCCGTTTTAGTTATTGCACAACCAACACCGAATTTTCTTACATGTCGACGAAAAAGTATCAAATTTTGGCATCATCATGTGGATGCCACCATCCGTCACAAAAACCCTACTTGGGGTCATCGCCTCTTCACTCGTCGCCACTCGAACTTCCTGGAAAAATTCATTAACCCACTTCAAATTTCACAATACCCCCAAATCACTACTTGCTACCTTCAAAAGCTCCATTCTCAAGCTTTTGGTCTTTAATGGTGGAAAAGTGGTAAACTTTCATCATTTCTGCTAATTCCAAACCCTTTATTTCCTTGAAACAGAGGTCTAGAAACATGAACTTAGGCTGTTACCAAACCATTCAGTTCCCTACAAAAGAAAAGCTCGGGTTTTTGTCCTGGAATCCATTGAAATGCTCACGATTAAAAGGTAACAAGATTGGTGGCGTCAAATTCGGAAACTTTCAGATTAGTCAAAGGAGTACGAGGTTGAAATCGATGCTGAGCGTGGACAGTGTGGTGGAGATAGAGGGGAAGGAAGGAGTGAATAGGGGCAGTAAATATGATGCAATTGTTATAGGGTCTGGAATTGGAGGGCTTGTTGCTGCTACACAGTTGGCTGTTAAAGGAGCCAAGGTTTTGGTATTGGAGAAATATGTGATTCCTGGTGGGAGTTCTGGTTATTACCAAAGAGATGGATACACTTTTGATGTTGGATCTTCTGTCATGTTTGGATTCAGTGATAAGGTCGCTTTCTTTCTTATCTGTCTCGGGTTCGGATTTTTTTCCATGCATTTGAAGTG